TCTCGTTACAATAACGAGTCCCGTTGACTGAACCTGCGTCGAAGATGTGAAGGTCTGTACGACTACCAAGCATGATGCCTCCCCAAACGAGAACACCGCCACCTCCATACCTGTCCCTTTCAATGATGTTAGAGGGATGATTGCGGTTTCCCCGCTCTCTCCAGATGAGTATGCGATGAGAATCGCTACTCAGACTGAATCTGCTCTCATCTGTAAAGAGTACTCGTCCCCATTCATTGTCTCTCCAATTCCTGGTGTTCCCGGCACCACAGAGAACGCCTTCTCCGATGGGCAGGCGTTAGAGGTACAGACCGTACAGGGCGTCGTGCAAACAGACCACCACCGTGCAGTCTTCTGGCCACGGTAAAACGCGATATCGGTCGTCCAGTCGCCTGTGTCGTGTGTCTAGCGATTTCTCCCGCTGTCTGCCGCCTGTTTCTTCTGGCCTGTAAGGCAATATACCGGTCATCTGTGGGTGTGGTTCCTCGTGGACGACCACTACTAAACCCCCGGATAGCTGTTCCTGTAATTGAAATTGTCTCCAAAGTCGTGAAACGATGCTGTGAGCAATTCCGAACTCTGCAGCCACACTTGTCACACTGCGGCCTTCCTCCAACTTCCCAATGATTCGACCTCGGGTAAAAGCATCCAGATGTCGTCTAACAGATTGATTATTCGCCATTTCTCGCTGAGGCAGCAGCTCGGTGTGATTTTAACTGCTATACGGCGTGCAATCTCTTTGCCAGAAATACTGATCTTACACCGACAACATGCTTTATACTACTCAGACACCCCCCCCATTACGTCTACCTGCATATCTGCGCATGTGCTACCGTACATAACCTTACTTAATCTCTTGATTGATCTTTCTGTCCGCTCTGCCTCTTCGTTCAGCTGATATGCTAATTTTTCGATTTTGTCCTTAATTTTTGCACACCAGTGTATAATATTATCGATTCATCGCATCTAAGCTTTGGAATTACTGAATTACTAATTCCGTTTCAGGTTTCTATTGTTCTATCTAAACAGTGCAAGACATGTAGGTTACGCTCTACTGTCGTCAGTGCTTTTCTTAGTAGCATAACTGTCATCCAGATTAACGTAAAAAATCGATCTTGTTTTAGGAATGTTTCTTGTCTGCTGCAAACACAGCTTTGAAACTATTCATTTTTCGTAAGATGTTTAGAAGTAATTTCAGGAAATTCATGAAACTACGCTTCTCAATCTGTGGTCCCCGAAACTTGCCGTGTGTTCCTTGACTTTTAAAAAGGACCAAAAATAAAATTCAAATTAAATAGGTGTACCACACTATACCTGAACATCTCAAAGTTTGGAAATAACACAAGAAAGTAGCCTATTCCTTTCTCTGTCATTATGGCATTACATAACATTTATTAACCTGTTAATGTACGTACACATTTCTCATTCTAGTCTTAGCAACAGGAGAGGGATTTAAAGGACTATGACCGTGGTGATTCTTACTAGCATACATATAAACATAGAACAGGTATCCAAATTTAGCAGGCTAATCCATTTCATTAATGTGAGGACCAACATTTATTAAATGTTTAGTTACTAAGATATGAATTATCCTAATTCTACTTAACTTGAATTATTGAAAACGAATATAAACTTTCTTCTACTAAATACCAATATAAAATTAAATTAATATTAATAAATTATATTTTTAAAATGTAAGTATACTCTGGTATTAACGTATGCTAAAAAATTGTTTATGAAGGAAACATGGTCCTGCCAGGTGGTGCGAAGAGTATTCTAATTGTTTTATTTTTCCTACTAATTGTTTTCCTATTTAAAAGTATTTTGTGTAACGCTATAATAAAATAGTATAACTCTTATAAATTACCAAAAGAAATGAAAGTATTTCTTAAAAATTTCCGGAAATAGCATCTCTGTAGAATTCCCAGAAATACTGTAGACATGGTTTGCATCTATTTTAAAAAGTTCGAAAACTTACTGTTGAAGCCAACAAAGTGACTTTGTCGCCCTATGATGATAAACGATATCTGATAGATAGTGTGAAACAGCTATGCTTATGGGCATTATGCCATTTAATATTTTTTTATGTATTTAATAATTTTTTAATAATCTTTTTAGTAATTTAAGATTACTTAACGTATTTTATGTAAAATTTAATAATATTTGCATATTTAAATTGTATATATTAAATTTAACGTATTTTAAAGATTTTTGTTAATTTTACTTTTGAATGTATCTAATTATCTATTATATTTAACGCAATTTATATATTTAGTTTTAACGTATTTATTCATTATTTTTCATAATTTTTTTTTTTCATTTAATGGAGTTCTATGTACTTAATTGTATATAATCTTTTTTAATTTAATGGTTAATGATATTAAGCACATTTAGTTTATAAATATTTTTTTCTTAATTTTTACTTTCTTTCATTTTAAAAACACTATAGGTATATTAGTATAGTGTTACTTTTCGGCCTCTTGAAAAACTTATGGAAAGCTTACATAAAGTTATGCATAAGTTTTTCTGTTCTAAATTTTGCGCCTGCGAGCTTGCACCGCGCACCGCCTCCTGTCGGTGAACCGGCTGTTTCCCACTACTGGTACAGCATCGGTAAAATAATTACAAGAAATGTTCTGCTACACATTATGAACAGCTTTTTAATAAACTTTTGCACTCTTCTAATTAAAATATTGTGAAAATACCTATTTATATTTTTCTTGATAATTTTATATTAAATTAGTTAAATGCTATTACTGATTGGAAGGATATTTTTTCTTATCATTTAATGTTATCAGAATAACCATGGACAAACGCGATCGTATTAAGCGGCGCCTATCGTATGTGAAACTACCTTATATTAAATTCAGTACGATATGTTTAGTATAGTCCCTTTCTGGAAAAAAATAAATGTGACATTGTTATTTAAGGTGTCTCATTCTTCTTATTCTGCATAAGTAAGGAATTAGCTTTTAGCTAATTATTCTAAATTTTACAAACTGCAATAGCTTGCAGAACTCATTGCTAAATATTTACCACTAGATTGTGTTTATTCTGAGCTTACGTCAACCAGTTTATGAATGTATGTTTGAACTTCTTCAAAACCGTTAATTGCAGGCTATGCTATATATCTAGTTCTTATCTTCTCAACTTAGTGTTTTTCCTTTTTATAAACGTCAGTTCCGTTCGGCTGCTGAAACTGAAATACCACCCAGAACTTTTGACTTCTTAACCACTGTTTACAGAAACATATGCCATAATAAATAAGGATGTCCTCTGATGAAAACCTCTTAATAACATTTTCTTACCTTTAATTTTGTCACTATCCCTTTCTCAAAAACGTTTTTGACCCAGACAGTTTATTCTGAAGCTGTGAGACACGTGGGGAGAAAGGGAGTATCTACCTGTCTGGGAGGTGAAAGTGTTGGCTTCTGTTTGAATATGGAGGTAATCATTCCCTTGAAGGCTGTGTCTGAGTTGATGGACATTCATGGCGTCTAGCCGGAAACAAAAGAGAATGATCTGCTATTGTGTTTGGCCATGTAATGCAAATGGTATTATCCGCGGCTCTTTTTCAGTCGCGGTAGGGAAACTAATAATTCAACCAGTAGCAATTCACTTTTATTCTTGGTAAAGGTGTTACGATATGAGTTTTTTTTTTCTATGTACTGTTTCAAGTGTGGATGGACAAAAGGATTAAAAGCATGAATAAATAACTAAATAGTAGTTGTGTGATTAATGTTTGTGATGATAAGTTTTTATTTTTAATTATAAGCAGATTGAAGATTGCAGCAGATTGATTTTTTAATTAAAGATACCTCATAATCGAACTGGAATTGGCATTCCCGAGTAAGGCCGTTGTTTTGATCTTACTTCGGATATTCAGATTGTTTCATGAAATAATGTTACACAAAAGCGTTGTTAAGATTCCTTTTCTTACATATCCCATTTAAAAACGAAATATGTTGAAACTGCATAAAGGAATTTGAAACTTTTATATATTGTATAGTTGTAATATGACGTAAGAGATTCACTTTGAATTGCTATTATGTAGAATGCTATTGAAGACTGTTCTCCTATATACCGTCAAGTAGTAAATTCATAAGTCTGTCGCAGATTGGTAGTTAAACCCCGTCGGGAAAATTATGCAAGCTGAAAGATAATTTAATGTGTCGGTTGTGCACTTGATGGCGGGAAAAAGAATTTTTTCTCGTGAGGTGCGTTCCAGCGGGTAAATTACAAAAATGAAGCCTGTTAGAGAGCTAGAAAATGTAAACTGTAAGGACCCTTTTTTTTTTTAATAAAACTGAAGAATACCAAAAAAGGTATTTTTTAAGTATCCATATGTATAACTTCAGTCTTAGCGAAGATGAAACTTGATGAAAACTTAAATAAGACAGTTTGAAAGGATTTTGCTCTTCTGTGAAAGTGATTGTGTTGAAGAATATGACTGTTTGCAAAATTCAGTACGGCTGTTTAATTATGCTCAATCCCAGAGGTGTTGTTCAGCATGAGAAATTTTACTATGTATAATTTTATTAAGTTATTCCTTATCAGCGGGTTAAGTTTCGGAGTTTTTTCAGGTGTGTTTCGAAGATTTCAAAATTAGAATGTTTAAAAAGCGGTTTTTATGAGTTCCCTGATAACCGCTAAATCGGAGTTTCACTTTTAATTATGTAAACAGAAATAAATAAGTATATATGAGATTTGCAAAAGTTGTTGCATTACAAGAGCAAAATTCTATTTCGAAAATTCTATTCTATTCCGCTTCTATTTCGAAAAGAAAAATATATATATAATTGAATGTAGGCTTTCATTTTTATCATTCTATTGCTATAGGAATTTAAATGCTTGTCACAACTGCAGTTATTCAGTTCATTATAGTACCTTTCCCGTTCAGAAATGATATTTTTACGTGCCTTTTCTATTATCTATCTTCTTTTCTATTCTTATTTATATCGAAATTTTCTATTACTTCAATGGGTTTTTATTTCATTGCAGGGCCCTTTTACATTCGGCTTCGGTGGCAAGTATCGAAAAAACCGATCACTGCGAACACCTACTGGGCCTCACTAAACGGCAAATAAAGATTTGCAAGAAAAATCTTGAAGTTATGGATTCAGTACGACAAGGTGCACTGCTATCGGTTGCCGAATGTCAGTGGCAGTTTAGAACCAGGCGATGGAACTGCAGTACCGTAAATGGAACAAGAATTTTTGGGAAAGTCCTCAGCGAAGGTGAGAAATTGTAAATTGTTTTCCTCAGTTTTTCAGGACATTAGTTCTTAGTTATTTAGAACAATTGCATTTTTTCATAATGTGAAGGAAAATGCTATGTAAATTATACATATTACATCAGTTCGCATTTTAATAAAACACAAATTTCTAATTATTTGGAAAGTTTGATATAATCAATAAAATTGCTACATATATAATATTCTTATATAAAATAAAATCGGATTTTGATTCTAAAACGATTACTTTCGTGTTTCTCAGAAATGAAGAGCGCATTACGGAGGCTATTCGCAAATTTTTTGGACAATTTTCATTGTATGTACAGAAATATTTTATCTAAAGGTTTTGTGTTTTAAACTTCCTATTTGATAACCTTAATTCTTTACTATCTTTTTGCATCGTAATTTCGAAGAAAATAGAACCTTTTATAGTATCAGAAGATGTATTTTATCCCATTCTTCTTGAACAGTTTTTCAAAATCCAAGGAGTTGCAGGTAGATGTCTGGACAATTCGCTTTTTAAAAATCCGAAAGCCTAAATCCATGAGTAGTACGTCAGGAGATTTAGTAGAGATGCAAGTAATAAATATAGCCTTAATTCCCGTTTCTTGTACCATTTTTTTTCCAAGAAATTCACAGTGGATTTTGACGTGTGGCTGCTGGCTTTGTCTCGATGCAGTTTTACTGACTGATGGCACTGTGGGTAAAGAGAAGGTATTTCACACTTGAAAAGTGTCTATAAAATATATTCCTGATAATATGTGGAGATGTTCCACATTGTTCTCGACTCCCATTATTTTTAATTTGCCATTATATGAAAAACTAGCAATAGTCGTAAATCCCTTCGAAAAACTTTCTAAAGCTTCTCTGAACCACGTTTAAAATTTTTTCTTCTCTTTGATGATGGATGTCTTTTTATTGCAATTATACATCCAAGATTCATCTATTATTACAACAGTTTTACATTTTTGTCCGGATAAACGTTTATCATAAAGAATTCTGCAGCGCATTTTGCGTTCAGTGATATGTCATGGAGAAAAACAATGCACATTAGGTTTTTTTCGCCATTTTAACAGTCAGATAAACATTAATAATTTTATTTACAGCTGACATTATTTAAATGATTTTGAAACTGTTCTTTGACTTGACGAATTTTCGTTTAGCATTAAAGACCTTACCTTTGCAGAATTAAAAAAATTCCGCTTTTTCCTTGGTTATATATTTGGAACAATATTTCCTCTTGGAAGTCAAGGACATTTTGTTTTCCTTTCTTGTTGACAATATTACCTATCGTAGCTTTTAGATATCGAAAAACCGTGGCCTTTCACAACGTTTTTCAATAACTAGATACCAATAATTTTCTTCAGAAAGAACACCAATATAGCCTTCCATCCACTGCTTCTTTAAAACGACATTTTGCATGAAAACAAAACTGTTAACACTCTCAATAATATAGTTTGAGTTATTCCATCCACTGCTTCTTTAAAACGACATTTTGCATGAAAACAAAACTGTTAACACTCTCAATAATATAGTTTGAGTTAAAAAAACAAAGTCCAAGATTTTACAGCAAAGCAAAATCGTCTAAAAATTGTGTGAATAGAATCCGTATAAATGATTTAAAATTTATAATTAAAAGACAGATTAAAATTAACGATGTAATTACAAGTAAGTGAAATAAGCAAACATAAGAAAAAATACCATAGTAGATAATTTATCATGCGATTAAAAGGTTGTCATGGAAATATGCTTGTATTTTGCGTTTTTATTTAATATAAGCAAAAAATGAAGATTAACAAGGTAATATTGAGCAAGGCTGAAAAATCATTTATCAGTTCGGCACATATGCATAGTTATCTTGGGTAATATGTAATGCTCTTCTTCTTCATATTGTTACGAGTTTGGTATTTAAAAAGCTAATGTTAGTTCAATTATAAATTAAATGGTTTTATTTCTCGCGCAGTGCAGCGCGTGACGAATATTAAAAGAAAGCTAAGCCGGAAAATTGAAAATACAAGAGCGCGTGCATTAAATAAATAAATATCTCTTTTTGATTTCGAGAAAGTACTGGAAAATTCTAGCGCGTGATTTTAAAATCTTATAAAAGGAGGAAAACATCTCAGTTTGCAGTAGTTGCTTAGATTGTTGTTGTTTAGAAAACTACTCTTGTTGATTGTAGCGAATTCGCGGATTAGCGTTCATTAGCTGTTTTGAATTACGTTCTATTGGACATTTGAGTAGTTAAAAAAGAAAAACTACTGTGAGATATTGTAATACTGCGTGATAATTTGAGAAAATTTAAGCACTTTTGTTGTGATAATAATAAATTTTTGTTCGTTTTTCATCGGACTTGTGCATTCATTTCATAACGAACCCGTACGCACGCAACAATTTTTGGTGTCAGGAGTGGGATTTGAATGCCAATAACAAGAGCGATGGAAGAGCACTTAAGGCAGTTGATATCAGCCTTTGCCTCGTTTAAAGAAGAAATGAAAGAAGAGATGAAAACTAGCCAAGGAAAGATGGAAGGGGCCGTCAACTCCGTTAAGGACGAAATGAAAGCCGTTCAAGCTGGTCAAGAAGAAATGAAAAGAGAAATTACTTGCATAATAGAAAATAAATTTGAAGCTATGGAAGGCAGAATTGACGCAGTTGAAAATAATGTTGGACATATGGAAGAAAATGTTTCTTCCGTAAAAGACAAATTGAAGAAAGAGTTTCTTCGGTGAAAGAAGAAATAGAAGAAAGAGTTTCTTCTGTAAAAGAACATATAGAAGGGAGAGTTTCTGCTGTGGAGGAACGAACTGAAGGAAGAGTTTCTGCCGTCCAACACCAAATCGAACAACAAATTGATGAGAGAGTTTCTGCAGTTGCCAAAGAAATGGATACTTTAAAGAAATTCGTAGCGTCCGCAGGGAGCAGAAGTGATGATTTTTCAATTCTTACCAATGCCTGCTCGTCCACCTCTGAAGCTATCCACATATGATGGGAAGACCTCCTGGCAGGTGTAAAAGACACAATTTTCTATCGTGGCGGATGCGAATGGATGGGATTCCCAAGCTAAGGCCTGTCATCTCGCCGCTTCTTTAAGAACCGACGCAGCGGATATCCTTCAGACTCTTCCCGAAAACAAAAGGTTAGATTTCGAAGCTCTGTCCGGCGCCTTGGAGTTGCGCTTTGGGGAGAAGTGTTTAAAAGACTACAGCAGGCTCCAATTAAAATCTCGTCAACAGAAGCCTACCGAAACACTTCAGGAGCTCGCCGCGGATGTTGAAAGGCTGTCCCATCTCGCCTTTTCGGAATGCCCGACAGAAACAAGGGAAATCCTGTCCTTGCAATACTTTATCGACGGCATCCGAGATACTGAAATACAGAAAGCTCTACGAATGGCGGATGTAAAAGATTAAAAAAGTGCTCTAGTGTACGCCATGAAATTTGAGGCAGCCCAGCAAGCCACTCGTCGAGACCGCCACCCAGTCAGAGCTGCTCAAGTCCAGGAGCCAGGGGATCAAGTCACCGCTCGACTTGACGATTTAACTAGACAACTGAACGCCTTGAGACGGAATATTGGTGAGAAGAAACCGACCGTTAAGTGCTGGAACTGCGGTGCTGAAGGACACATAAGACGAAACTGCAGAATACCCCAGGGCACGGATGCTAAGACCGCTCCTAACAAACAGCAGGAAAACTAATTAGTGGCCATCTCGCGGGGCGGAGGTTGCCAGATAATGAAAAGCCCCCGTTTAAAGCGCTTCAGATTTCTGCAGTGAGAGGCGGCAGTAATGGACTTTTCATAATAGGACATATTAATGGAATTCCGTGCAATATGACTATAGATACAGGAGCCAACGTCACCATCATTCGAAAAGATTTGGCTCAACAACTAGGAAACAAACTTATCTGGACGCCGCCCTGCGTTACCCTCCAGACTGTGTCCGGTGAGAAGATCGACATCGACGGAAAAGTAAATGTTAACATCACGTTTGGAAGGGCCGCTTACCATCACACGGCATATGTAGCAGAGATCACTGATTCTTGCATACTCGGATTGGACTTTCTAAGGAAATACAATTTTTCCTTGGATTTTAAAAATAACGAATTGCATTCTACATCTGAGGACATAGAATCGCCCTATTTATTTCTGAATCTGAGCCCATTTATTTATTAATTAGGCTCTATGATGAATTAATAAGAAGTTTAAATCTGTCCATAAAATCATAGCACAAGACTATATCACAATACCGGCAAGAACAGAAATTTTACTTCCTCGATCCATAGCCGAAAACAGAAATTTCCGCTACGGCATCATAGAATATCCCAATAACTGTAATAGCCCAAAAGGAGTACTAGTAGCCTCAACACTCGTCGACCTATCCAGAACGGTTATCCCGGTGAGAGTCGCCAATGTAACTGAAAAGTCGAGAGTTATTAAGAAAGGTGAAGTGGTTGCAACATGTACTCCAGTAACCAGCGTTGAAAGAAAGAGTAACATCCCAGAATCCGTGTCCTCAGAGAGCATTACATAAGTTATTGCAGAATGCACAATTAAACGATAAGGAGAAAAATGCTGCCGATCGCGTCATTAAAGATCTTCAAGTTGTTTTCTTCCACTCGTCTTCTGACGTGGGTCGAACTAGTTTGACACAACATAGAATAGATACTGGCGATCATCCCCCGATCAAGCAACATCCAAGACGTCTACCGTTTGCTAAACAGGAAGAAGTGCGAACACTTTTAAAAGATATGGAAGAAGGCGATGTCATCGAGCCGTCAGCGAGTCCATGGGCATCTCCCATCGTTCTCGTCAGAAAGAAAGACGGCTCAACAAGATTTTGCGTTGACTATCGCCGGTTGAATGAGGTTACGAAGAAAGACAGTTACCCTCTTCCTAGAATTGATGACATTCTAGATACTCTTTCTGGAAGCAAGTGGTTCTCAACACTTGATTTAATAAGTGGGTATTGGCAGGTAGAAATCCATCCTGATGACCGAGAAAAGGCGGCA